GGATTCGTGGAATACTTGCTGCTATCTGGTTACGTGAGTTACAACGAAATACGAAACGATCCAGTTCATCTATGTTTCAAATGATGGCTGGAACATCAACTGGTGCTATTATTGCAGTTGGTCTATCTGCACCTGATAAAAATAATCGAACAATACCAGGTTATGATGCATCTCAGTTGGTTGAACTATATAAAACTTGTGGAAGGGATATATTTATTAAAAAGCCTCGTAGATTCTATAGCTATCGTAGAAGTCCTCTAGCGTTAACACCTAGATATTCTTCTTATGGTAAAAGAAGACTATTTGAACGTTATTTTGATCAAACTTTATTATGTGAATGTTTAACTGATGTTGTTATACCAGTTGTAAGGAGTGACGATGCGCATACTCATTTATTCACAAGAAATAATAGTTTATATTCAACAACTATAGTTGATGTTCTTATGGCAACGACTGCTGCACCTACTTATTTTCAACCGCACATTTTGAATAATATGAATCATATTGATGGTGGTGTACAAATGAATAATCCAACGATGGCTGCATATACAAAAGCTATTGAATATGGTTATAAAAAAGAAAATATATTTATATTATCATTAGGTACAGGTGATTCTATATATGATCCATTGAAAGCCAATGATCATCCAGATATTATATATTATCTGAAAAACCGCAGTGCTGTAGTTAAAGTTTTAATTGATAGTCAACAACATAATGTCGATTATCAGATGAGCATTTTAATGGATGATGAACATTATTATCGATGGCAAGTATGCTTTGAAGAACTTATTGAATTAGATAAATATGAAGCAGATACAGTGAATAAATTAGAAAATATTGCATATGAATATTGGGAAGAAATGCAAATCTATGATAATAATAGAGTAAACAGATTGATTGAGCGTTTAAAATCTGAATAAAATAATAAAGAAAAAAAACAGGATTTGTGCCATCAAAAATTATTAAAATTGAATATTAGTGGAGTGTGAGGGTGGGTGTGGGTATTCTTTTTATTTCTACTCACATACTAACTCCCACAGTCAGACCACCTACATCCACCCACACTCACACCCCACACCCTAGTACCACAGCTGTGACTTATGAAAAAGACTGATCTGGGCCACAACAATCAATGATACAGTTTAACAGAAAATGTTTAGGTTGTAGTACGTTTTGTTTGTGATATGACATAGTGATATACCCAAGAGATTCAATCCGACCGGCGGATCTTACAGAAAACCATCGGATCCTGGTCGAGATTGCATCGGAATCCGGCGTCTTCTATTAATCTTCGACGAGATCCGACCCATTTTTGCGTCGGATTCTCATGCGCAGGATTCCAATCCTGATTACGTCGGAAAAGATCCGGTCGGATCTTTGCAAAACTGGTAACCGTATCAAATCGCATTCGCTCAGAAATGACTTTCGGAAAAGAGAGAATATTGCCAGATTCTAAAGCGGATAAAGTCTGATGTCATCGGATTCCTGCGAGGGGAAACCCAATCGAATGATGCCGGGAGTAATCCTGCCAAATTCCTCTGTTATCAGACAATTGGATAACACCGGATTTATATAAGAAGTCACCACCCCAAATATATCCTATCGGATTCTGATTATTCCTCTTCTCTCGCGTTCGAAAAATCATCGGAAAACTAAACGACAGGTATCCGCTCATTGGCTCGCATCAGATATCCCAATTTCCGGCAGGATTCATTGAAATTCTGCCGGATCCCACCGAAAAACGATCAAATACACTTGTGAATTCGACGAGTAGATGCACCTCATCGGCAAAAATCTTAGAGTTCAGAAGTGAGCACTCCATGCTCAGTTTTGCTCACTTCTTCTGGAAACTTTGGGAAACTTTTCCAACTATGGAAAAATCTTTTGGATTACACCAAAATTAGGGGTGTTACTTTATCTTTATCGACCTTTATATTAAGGAATAAATATAAATAAAATATTTACATTTGAAAAATAACGTTAAATAGAGTCTTTATGTTTATAAAATAAAGATTGAAGAATTGAAAAAATCTTTATTCTTCAAAAAATAAAGTTAAATAAAATCTTTATATTTAAAAAGTAAAGATAAATAAATCATTCATTTTTGAAAAATAAAGAAGATATAAACATAAATGTAAGATTTTTTTCTATGATTTAAAAAGAAACAAATTTGTGCTATAACAATAGGATATGTAAATTAAAAGCTTATTCATAAAATCTCTATCGTTGATCGCAAAACCGAATGTTCAGAACTAGAATAATAAAAATAGAACAATGAACTCATTATTTTTGTATGACGTATTTTCTTAATAAGGTATGCCTCTCTCATCTGACTGAACTCCAGCATTGCAGAAAAATCTCACGTAAGATCATACTATCAATTCTTTTAAATGCATCCATATTTTAGCAAGAGGTGGATCAATATGAAGTTGAGAATTTGATCGTTAGAGATATTTTATTTTGTCGACACACTGTTGATCAATCCTCATCCGACTGTCTGTTTTTAGTTTGGATAGTTTAATGATTTCTTTTCTCGACAAGGACATAAACAAAAATTACAAACTCACCCTATTAATTTTTAGTGTTTCCAACGTCGTAGCAGATGATATTAGCTACAGCTAATTAATTATTCAATTCTTATCTTTTTCTCCTCCTTAAAGGATGTCTTGAAATACGAAGTTTCGATTTCTTTCAGCATATTGCGTAGCAATACTACAACACAAGTTCATCCGAATATAACGAACACATACATCTGCCTCGCATTGTTTCTTCACAGTCAGATACCACTTCTTTCATATAAATATATATGGGATGAAGATTATCCGATAGCTGTAGCCTTACAAGATTGATATGGACTAATAATTTATTTCTGTATATAATAAAACATTAAAAAAATTAAATATACTTAGCATTACCTTAACATGGAACTGATGAAAAAAATTCATTTAGGATAAATGGTATATACACGCATGTTTGGTCGCTTAAATATGATGACATAGTCAACATCGAGTCTAAGGAGAAAAAAACGAGCTCTAATTCCTTACAGAATCTATCATGAGTCAAAATCAATGTTCGAGTCATATCCTTTGCTTTTAACGGTTCTATCTTTTTACGAAATCATAGTACTTTGGCAGTTCATGCACGCTTGCAAAACCTCGTATCAATGATACTTATCCAACACTATTGTAGTCACTATGTTATGTCCGTGTATAACGATTTATGCATAGTTAATAGATTCAAGTCCATTTATGAGTGTATATAAATGAGTATTGAAGAAGCAAGAATAAATATAGAAGAGGAGCAGGAAAAAAGAAAAAACTTCGTTTAAACACTTAAGGAGTTTGAGTTTATAGATGTCCGTCAATGCGAAGCCAAAGTACAATATTCATACTTCTTTCTTAAACAAGATACCATATAGATTTTTTATACATACTAGAAAGTCTAAGTAAAGTACGCGCCAACAACTATCTTAATCTTATTTGAATAGTGCATGACTCATTATGACCTCAATCATCAACTGTCTTCATATAATTGTGCCATATTGTTATAAAATCTTCGCAATGAGATAGTATGAAGTCGAAGAAGTTCATCTAGAATTAACGCTAAAGTATATCAAGCCCTCCGAACTAATCTGAAGTCCACAAGGATATATCGATGACGAATGTTTCCCATAGTGTTATAAGATTCTCAGAAGGTACACACAATACCATATGAAAAAATGAAATCCATATTCACATAGAAAAATCAATAGTTTGCTGATATAAAAAAAATTTATAAATTTATTTGACCTTCGCAAAGGTCGAAAAAAAGAGATTAATAGCATATATCAAATACTTTAATGAATTATTCTTGAAATATTAAATAGGAGAAAAAAGTAAAACACGATCAAATAGCATTTTTCACGAACTGATGAAAGTGGAAAAGTAAAAGCTCGATATGTTTATATGAAGAAAACCCTTTTGATACTCTTTTCTTTGAAATTCTATTTATAAAAATTTACTTAACGCTTTGAGAAAATGAAGATTGCCTCATTGGAAAAAAAATATTCTATAGACGCTTTGCGAACACTAAAAGAAGACATCGATGCTATAGTATTTTTTGACATTTTTCTTCGTCGTTCTATTGGACTGGATATTTAAAGATTTAGATGTCTATAACTAGTTGATTTTTTGTGCCTACTCAAAGTTGTTAAAATAGAAAATTTAGATTTGACTATCATAAAAATGATGTAATCTTTCTTGCGAGCTGATTTTCATAAAATTATAGTAGTAACGTCGAAATTAAATTTGAAGTCTTTTAATGGTATTAAAAAGAGATATTAAATGGAAGATCAAATCTAAAAATTGATTCAAGATATCCTCCAAGCTTTTTCACTGCTGATCAATTAAGGACTCATTAAATGGATAAAAGATTTCTATTTCTTGGCAAGTTACTTAATTAATAACAATCTTTTCTTGATATATCCAACACCCGTATGTCACGAACTCGTTCCAGTTTATATATCCCTTTGTTAAGG